TTACAAATTTTTACTACCTAGACACGTGTCAACACGTGATAGGTAAAAAAAACAAAAATTAAAAAAAAAAAGAAAATACCCAGCCCCCACCCTATCCCGGAAAACACCACACCCCCACCCCTACCCCGCCGAAAAAACCGCCCCTTCCCCGCTACCGGAAACCGCCACCTAGTCACCCCTTCCCTTCCCCCACCCCGATCCCCCCCCCCCGATAACCCCTCCCCAACCCCGATAACACCCCTTCCCAGCCCCGATAACCCCTCCCCACCCCCGATAACCCCTCCCTAGTCCCCGATCACCCCTCCCAAGCCCCGAAAACCCATCCCCAGCCCTCGATAACCCCTCCCCACCCTCGAAATTGGCGAACCCAGCCACGAAATCGGCGACGCCTATGCACGAAATCGGCCACAAACGGCCGAAATCGGCCGGTTTAGGGTATTCAGCCCCAACATCGGCCATTTTTGGCCAACGGTGGTGGTGGTTTGATGTGCGGCGGTGGTGTTCGTGTGGTGGTGGGTGCTGCTGGGTTGTTCTAATTTTTTTTTTTTTTACATTTTTCTTTATTTTTTTTTAATTTTCTTTACTTTAATTTTTTTATTTCTTTATTTTTCTCAACCAATTAAATATTGACACGTGTGCAAAAAAAATCACAAAGGTTTACCAGCTTTACTGGTTGCAAGTTATTTGAGTGCAACGAAAATTAATACCCCCCAAAGTTGGGAGTGATAGATAATAAACTGAAGTTGGGATTAATTTCGGCGGATGAGGCAAAGTTCAGATTAATGGGAGCAATTTTTCCTAAAACTATACCATCAAATGGTATACTTCCTCTATTTTTATTTTATTGCACTATTAGGACTTTTACACATTCACTTAATCTTCTTTGACCATCATTTGTGATTTATCCATTCGGAAAAATATAGTCATGTGGGATCTAGTTAGATTCGTCTCGAAATCTTCTTTTCAAATATCAAATTTTTATAATTTTTACAAAAATATGATTGAAGATATTAATAGCTAAAAAAATGCATTGGCAAGCGTGAATTCCCTCATGGTGCAATAAAAAAAGAACGGAGGAAGTATATCATTCCATGGTAAACTTTTGCTTCGTTCCACGTGAAACATGAACCAACCAGGTCATGCCATGTGGCCTGGTTGTCATACATCTTTTATTTATTTTTTTTCAATTGCATTTTAAGAAAAAATTATAAAGTCAAAAATTATAAAAAAATTACCATTTTTTATAATTTTTCAAGACATACACATAGACACCCATATTGATATAGTTTTATATATTTTTGAAATTCACTTTTTTCTACCTAAATTGCTTATATTTATTTAATTAAATTTATAAATAGTACGGAGTAATTAGTTATTTTTAACATAAAACAAAATATAATTATAATTTAATTAAGTGTATAATTCATACATATAGGAGAGAGAAAGTGTGTTGGTAAACTTTTTTTATACCATGGGTGGGGTGATTTTTGGAGAAAGTATATTGTATTGTGGTATAGATGATGTGGAGGAGTGAAAAAGTGGTAGAGAGAGAAGGGTGGTATAAATTTTTATACTATGAGTGATGATGGTCTTACAAACACTCAAAATTTGAGAATATATTACCACATGAGAATATACTACCACAGGTACACAACTAAGTTCAAAAGAGTTTGAAAGTAAAAAAAACGGTTATGATTATAAAAAATCTAATCGAAAAAGGGTATAACATACTATTAATTGAACTAATTAATTGATAATCTAACATACAATTAAACTAATAAGTTAAGAATCTAACATATAATTGAAGATCTTAAGTTTCTACCATATGATATATCATTGTATTATACTTCGTATAAAAATGCGGTTTATATTTGCGGTTTGCAGTTTTGTGGTTTGCGGTTTAATTTAAACCACAAACCGTAAAATTGCGGTTTGTGGTTTGGTTTGGTTATATTTTTTTTGGAAACCCAAACCAAACCGCAATAATACGGTTTGGACAAAATAAAAACCAAACCGCAAACCAGACCAAACTACAAATTTGCGGTTTGGTGGTTGGTCTGGTTTGCGGTTTGGTGCTGTCTAAACCGCACTCTGTACAACCCTATTTATGTACGTTATTCATTAAAAAAAAATGAAATATGGTCCTATTAGATTTGCATTAATACATTCCAAATTTTTATATTTTCTAATCACGGATTAGAAAATAAATTTTTTCTTAAGGTAAGGAGAAAGACTCTGAGTAGACCTCAACCCTCATTTTAAACTTTAAAGTGACAAAAAAGGATAAGGTATCCACTCCTCAAAAGTGTTTTTAGTGGGAATTGATGAACCCCCAACCTTAAGCTTGGAAGGTGCAATCTTTCACACTAAACCAAACTTAAATTGTTATTTTGTACAAGGTAAACTTAGCTTAAAGAACAAGTAAATAAAAGGCTACCAAAATAAATGAGTTTGCCCTGTTTAAAAAATAAGTAATTTTTTGCAACTTATTTACTAAAAAAAGGTAAAATAAAACAAAACAGGAAAAGTTTTGTGTAGAACGGACTCAGGTGAGTCCAATCATACAAACAGAAAAAAAAAAATTAATTGTTAGAAATTAGATAATAATGGTCAGATATTAGATAATAAGTGTCATAAATTAGATAATATTGGTCAGGTATTAGATAATAAGTGTCAGAAATTAGACAATAAGTGTCAGAAATTAGAAAATATTGGTCAGGTATTAGATAATAAGTATCAGTTATTAGATAATATAGGTCAGACATTAGATAATTTTGGTCGGGCATATATACTGCTGTTGAAGTTTCTGAAAAGATTTTGGTAGTTTCGGTCTTATCTTATTTTGGTAGTAATAGAAACATATGGTGTTGGAATTTGCATCAAACTTAATTTGTTTGTTTCAGTTTGAAATTTATTCATAACTGAATTGCATTTTGTTATAGAGGGAACTAGCGCTAATATCATGGATGGAATTGCATAATTGTTTATACAGTAGCTGCTATTGTTGGGATTGTTAAGATGATTATGATTGTGCTTGTACTATATGATTTTACTCTTTGCAATTATTGTATTCTAACTTTCTAAGTGGTGGACTTCTTTGAATTCAACTTTTACCGATGTGAATTTGATCAAGAATCTGGATTAGATAAGAGGAGAGATGAGGCAGCTGGAATATCGTGACTTTCTAAAGCCAAAACAGACCTCTGAAAGTTGACGTTAGAGATGCTTACTCAAATATCCAATTGAAGAAATAGGGTGTGGGAGGGTCGCCGGCGTCGGGGTATAGGAGGAGCAATATGGTCGCCGGGTATCGACAAGTGGCTAGGTAGTGGCAATGGGTGGGGATGCATATGTGTTAAAAATCGGACTCACGTGAGTCCGTTGTACGCAAAATCTTCTCAACAAAACAAACCAAATATTCTCATCTACTCACAACAACCACCATCACCACCCGAAATCCAACACAGCCACCACCATCTATCTTCCCAACGATCAACCACAGAAGCTTTCCTCTTCGTCTCATCACCATCTTCCTCTTCTTGTTCTTCCTTTCTCGACAACAATGGCCCAATACCACTTTTTTTTTTTTTTTTTTTTTTTTTTTTTTTTTTTTTGGGGGGGGACAAATGTGTTTTGACTTTAGCATTATTCACACGCTCTCCTTTGATCGTGTTTTGTGTTTTAAATGTAATGAAAAATGAAGTCATGTAGGATCTTGTTAGATTCGCCACGATAAATTTTTCAAAATATAACTTTTCACAATTTTTTCTTATCGGTAACGGTAATTAAAGTTATGAATGGTTGAATTTGTGCATGGGTAACGTTACTAAAGAAATGTATCAACTAAAAAGAAACGGAAGAAGTAGAGCTTGTTTGTCATCATTTTTGGTTTTCAGTTTCCTGTTTTTTTGAAAACTAAAAACCAAAAATAGAAAACTAAGGATTTGTTTGGATTGCTGTGGTATTTTTTTTTTTGGTTTTTTGTTTTTTTTAAAAGTATTCCCTCTCTTTTTAAATACTTGCTCCATTTCTCCTATTGCGTGGAGTTTTATGAGAAATTGGAGAAAGTAATAAAATATGGAGGTAGTGGGTTGGTGGAAGAATAAAAAATGGTATAAACCCAAAAGTAGAGGAGAGAGTTGAAGGAGAGAGAATATGGAATTAATATTGTTAGGTCCACTTGGTGAGATAAATTAATTAAATATTGTAAAAGATTTCCAAATAAGGAAATTGAGCAAGTATTTAAAAACGGCGGAAAAGGAAAGTGGAACAAGTATTTAAAAACAGAGGGTGTATATGATATATGTCCCATAATGAATAAAAAATTATATAAACTTATTAAAATCATGATAATTTTGAAAACTGAACAGAATAGTGAAAACATCTTTTTCTTGTTTACTATTTTTGGTTTTTGATTTATAAAAAAAAAACAAGAAAGTGAAAACAAAAATGATGCCAAACAAGCTCAAAAAAGGTGTTTTTACTTTTCTGTTGTCAGTGTTCAAAATAATTTTAATAAGTCTAAATAATTTTTGATTCATTATGTTACATATATAATATATATTTTAAAAACAAACAACCAAAAAACAGAAAACCACAGTGATGCCAAACGAACCCGTAGTTATTACTTTTATTTATTTAGGATATGTTCATATTTACTTATTTTCAGTTCAGTTCAGTTCATTTCAGTTCAATTCAGTTCAATCAGTTCAGTTCAGCTCTTAATTTCCCTCTCTCATAAAATATTCATTTCAGCTTAGTTCAGTTCAGTTCAGTTCAGCTCCAATCAGTTCAGTTCAGTTCAGTTCAGTTCAGTTCAGCTCCAATCAGTTCAGTTCAGTTCAGCTCAGTTCAGTAAATATGAACAGGCCCTTACTAGTTTTGTGCCCGTGCGATGCCCGATTTAAATCTAAATACGTGATGCGACCCTTGGCGAAAAGTTAAAATGCCAATTGTCGTTGCCTCGTGAGCTGTCTAATAGTTTAGCTTTATATATTAGTTTTATGTTTTCTAAAAAAAAATTTGGATTTTCTCATACTTTCCGTTTTCGCCTTTAGGGATTTTTCACATTCGAGCGCATCGCTGCACCCCTTCCTCTCTCTATCTCCTCCATTGAAGCAGTTTGTGAGCTTTCTCTTCTCCATTGAAGCAATCTTTGAGGTTAGTTTTTTTTTTTTTTTTTGGGTTTTTTTTTTTTTTTTTTTTTTTTTTTTTTTTTTTTTTTTTTTAAATTATCGAGTATCAATTTCACAATCACTGTTAATCCTTAATACAATTGTCAGAATACGCAATTTAGGGTTCTTCTAAAGTGGATTATTGGTTGTTATTATTCGAAGAATTTGATGTAGTTTTTGTAGCATACTTTGTTAACTGAATCAATTTTGGTTGTTAATGGTGTTGCAGGCTTTGGTTTATACAACCCTTCAATGTCAGAACGAAGCCATGAGAAGGGTCGATCTTCGAGGAGAGAGAAACGAAGATTTGAGGATGATGAAAGTAATGGTAGGGTTAAGGAAGAAGAATTTAAGGTGATGAAAGACGAAGAAGGCGGCGATTATAGTAATAGTGATAGGAAGAGGGCTAGGAGAAGATTCGAGGATGATGAAAGTAATGGTAGGGTTAAGGAAGAAAAGGCTAAGGTGATGAAAGACGAAGAAGGCGGTGGTGGCCACGATGGCGGTGATTACAGTAATAAAGATAGGAAGAGGGCTAGGAGGAGATTTGAGGATGGTGAAACTGTTGCTGAACCTAGTAACAGGAGTGGTTCCCGTCCGAATGTAAGATCATTTCCTTTAATTTTTGATTTATGGTTGTTATTTGAGGTTCATTGCTTTTGGATGTATGTTGGTAATTGTTTTTGAATTAGAATGTAGTATGATTGAGTAGTGTTAGTGAGCTTAGTGTAATAGGTTGAATGTTTTCGATTATATGAATGCGTTAGGTTATGATTATCGATGTTTGTTTGGAGTTGGAGGTAATGCATTGTAGGAAATTGCAATTGAACATCTTGGTAAGTGTTAGAAATTGTGGAGTAGACCGCAAGATTTAGGATTTACGTTGTCTGGCAACTTTGCCAGGAGCAACTGAACATGTCTGGATTCTCCACTTCTTGTTTATATTTTTCTTTTATGGAGTGTTCGATTATATGAATAGTACTCCGTAATATGACAAGTGTAATGATAACTGGCTTCGACTCTTACATCTTGGGTTTGGTTGATTAGTTGTTTGATACAGGTGTGGAGTTCAAAACGCTATTTTCACTAGTTTAATGACCCTCCTTTGTATTATTCAAATAGTTTAGTAAATGAAGCTTTGTGCTGTAATGAATATGTAACTCTTTTTTTGGATCTTGCTAGCTAGTTCATTGCTTTATCACTGGTTGTTTATTGGTACTCTGGTAGTTTCTATGATTTGAATTTATGCATCTTTATTACTTATGATCTGCCGAAGTGATTTCATTTGGGAATCAATGTCAAGACACATTTTCCTTTGTTGAACACCGTGTCTAATAATTTTATCCTAGTTTTTTTTTGGGGACGATGGTTGATACTTTTACTCAAAGCATCATGAACTTTTTGATGCTGATTTGCATTCTTTTTTCTCTTGCAGGATCGGGCTGAGGAATCACTCAATGTGTCATCAAGATTTGCATCCGAATCTTTCTCTGCTAATAACCATACTGCCACCAAGGTATCTTCAATTTCTACCACCAATGAAAATAAGGGAGTTAATATTACCGGATCTCATGAGGTTACTGGAAAATCTAGTACAGATGGGACACCTTCAACTGCTGGCAAGAGTGGCAATTTTTTCCTTGATGCTTTAGCAAAAGCTAAGAAAGCTTTACAGATGCATAAGCATAAGAAAATCGCTGAAAAAACGAAGAAGACTCCTTCGGTGCGTTCCTTTTATTTTTTCTGATTTCACATATGCCACGTCTTTTGTGTTCAATTGCTACCGTTGTGAAATGAAATTATTTAACAATATTTTATGCTAATTGCTGCATAATGTTGTAATGAGTCTATTCTAACTTCTTATCCGTTTGTTTGTTTGGGGTGACAGTCAAATAAAGAAGAAAGTAAATCCTCTAATGCTGCTGGAATTCAGCAGACACCACCTGACGTTCCTCCAGCTTCTTCTTCTGCTAAGACAGTTGGCATGATAGACCCTGCCAAGTATGAAGCTGTGAAGCGTGCTCAGGAACTTGCTGCCAAGATGGGTTTCCGCCAGGATACAGAATTTGCTCCTTTGATTAATTTGTTTCCTGGGAAGTTGCCACCTGATGCTGCGGCACTTCAAAAACCTGCAAAGGCTCCCGTTCTTCGATTGGATGCTTTTGGTAGGGAAGTTGATGAGCATGGAAATGTTGTCAACATATCTAAACCAAGCAGTCTTAGTACTCTTAAGGTTGGTCTATGACTTGTATATCATTCCCAGCATGTGTGCAAGTCTGTCTGTTTTTGACTTAATGTCTTGCGTCAATTTTTTCAGGTTAACATTAACAAGCAGAAAAAAGATGCATTCCAGATTCACAAGCCAGAATTGGAAGTTGATCCAGAGAAGAATCCTCATTTCGACCCAAGGATGGGTATTGACAAAACCAAACTTCTCAGGCCCAAGAGAATGAGTTTCCAGTTTGTTGAGGAAGGTAAATGGTCTAAAGATGCTGAAATTATCAAACTGAAGGTATGTACCTTTTTCTAAGAATATTTTGTACTGTATTCTGGTTTCTTGTGCACTTATACATGGATATGGTTCTGCTATGTAGAGTCAATTTGGAGAAGCCCAAGCCAAGGAGCATAAGGCTAAGCAGGCACAGCTGGCTAAGGCAAAGGCAGAGCCGAACATTAATCCAAATTTGATTGAAGTTTCAGAAAGAGTTATCACAAAAGAGAAGCCAAAGGAGTCAATTCCAGAAGTTGAATGGTGGTGAGTATTATAGTTATATTTCAAGTTAAGCTGAATACATCTTTTGAAAAATTTAAATTTCTTCATACTCAAGCAATGTTCTACATGCGTTTTTCTAGGTTGCAGTTTAATTATTGTTAGAGTTAGCCGAGTTAGCCTACCTTATCTTATAAATAAAAACAACTTATTTTTCGTTGCATGCTACTATGCACCTGTTGTTCACACACTTAACTGTGTATTGTGTGCTGCTTCTTGACAATCTTGGTGGCCATTATGTCATTATCAGTTTCATCTCATGTTCCAATTTTCCACCTTTACTGGGTTGTTCCTTCTTTCTCTTTCGGTGGTGGTAGTGGGGGGGGGGGGTGTTGAGGAAGGTAGGGTAGCTACACGATGTGCCGGTACATATTTAAGATTTCGACGTGTCAAGGTTATCAATTTTCGAAAAGGAGATTCTGTCTTAAATATGGACATGGGTGCAGGGATTATGGCATAAATGGAAATTATTCCTGTTTTTTTAAAGACTTTTTGCATGAACTTTAACCTAGAGAACTCAAATACATTTACAAACAATGCTTGTTTGAAGCCTATTTGTGAGCACATGATGCACATGTTCTTTTTCTCCCTTTAATATGTACATTTTTTTTTTTCCTGTATATGTGGTTCAAGATGATTATATTGTCTGAGTGGGCATTGAAGTATCGGGTATTCGGGTAAGGATTTCGTACCCTTGTCAAAATGTCAAGAGTGGTGGACACTAATATGGAAGACTATAAGAAGAGTTGAAGTTACATAGGCTATAAGAATAGCCCAACATTGTTAATGTTGGGATAGAGTAGTAACAGTAGTTTTTATGGTGGACACTAATATGGAAGAGGACTATAATGTGAAGAGTTTGAAGTTTACATAGAGGCTATTATAAGAATAGAATGATGAACATTGTTAATGTGTTGGAATTATAGAGGTAGTTTTTCTTTTTTTTTTTTTTTTTTTTATTTGTGTTCTTTTTTTATTATCCAGTCAATTGCGTGCGAGCTATCATGCGATGTTTTATTGTATGTGCATGCATGAGTTTCAGTTGTTTTTTTTTAAAAAATACCGTGTTACAAAGAGCGCAGGGTGTTCAGTGATGGGTGTCTTAGATCACTATTAACATAAGTCTATCGACAATACATTCATGAAAGCAAAGAAAACTTAGGGTAAGAAGCTTGGACCTGTCATAATCACTGCCCCTAAAGAGCTTTATTTTGGAATTACATTTTTTTACCATAATATTTTCTAAGGTATTGCAAAGTTGCAAACTTTTGAAAAAAAGACTTAGAAAGCATTAAGGATATTAAGGGGGTGTTTGATTCACACTATAGTATGGTTTGGAATCAAGAATGAAAACAAGGTGGGAATTTGATTCTTAATACCTTGTGTTTGGTTGTTTTTACGGAATGGATTTTTTCTATTATTTTTGATACCTTGAGTATGGTATTAGTCATATTGATACGATATCCACCTTTCCCCTTGGGTTTCTAGACCCCATACCTTGTGTGTTTGAGGTTTGAGCTATGAGTCTAGAAATTGAATTTTTATTTATTTATTTATTTAAAAAAAAAAAACATTAGGTACAGAATTTACCCATTTTAAACCATACCTCGTACCTAAAATCTATGAACCAAACGGCAAACACTCCCTCAAAGGAGCTTGATCTATAACACTAGCCTGTAGCATTTGTGGGTTTATGAGGAAGGAGATGGGGAGTTGTGTGGCAATTTTGGGTTGTTGGGCTGAGGTGGTGTGGAAAAATGGGGTACAGATTTGGGTGGTGGGGTTGAGCTTTGGGCTCGGGGTCAAGAAGGGGTTTTGGTGTTAGGTTGATGGTGGCTGTGGTTTTTATTCAAGGAAATGGGATGACTGATGGTGGTAGTGGTATCTAGTGTTGGTGTTTGAACTGGATTGTTGGTAGCTTGTGGTGACTGGTGGGGATAATATATAAATAGAGCTAGTTGCTGACTGGATTTAGATGTTGGTGGTCTAGTTTGGGCCCTGGTGGATTTTAGAGGAGCTTTGGGTAATTTAAGTCCCTTGTGGGGGCAGTAAGACTAAATGAGGAAAGAGTTTATTTTGAAATATCAATCAAATACGAAGTACCACTTTATAGGCAAATTTAGTATTACCTCCATTCTTGAAACTTTCATTTCAAACACCCTTTAGTATTGTTGAAGTATGTGATTTATGTAAGTTGGTTAATTTCTAAATGAACTAAAGATCCATTCCTACTCACCTGTCTGTTGGGAGATTACTGTAATTTACATGTTGACAGAAATTTTGATAAATCCGATTATAATTTTCTTCAGATTGCATTTGCTTGTCACATGTTCTTCATTGCCAATGTTATTTTTTCCCTTATTGTCTTGGATTCAAGTCACTTCTAGAAGATAGAGGTTGTTGTTGCCAACTTTTTGGTTGCTAAATGAGAGAAACGGAATTAGTTTTCTTGGCTAACTGATGTGCTTTATATCACTGTATAATTATTGCACTTTCTTGATTAATTGACTTATCCATTCTGGTTGAACTCTTTTTTTTTTTTTTTTTTTTTTTTTTTTTTTTTTTTTTTTTGTGCAAACCCTCTGATCTGTGGTCTGTAAATTTGCTTTGTAATGTGCTCTATTGTTGACCAAGGGAATGTCAATATGTCATCATCTATGTGCTGTGAAGTGTGAACCAGCTCCTTTGAATCTGTTATATGGTGCATTTGTTGTGGTTAGGTTTGAGCTAGTACGATATGCTTGCTGTATGTATATGAACTCTGAGAGTGTCTCTTTTGCTTAATGATGAAATAGTGAGACTTACTCCCATGAAAGCAAATTCTTAATGTTTTGTACTTACCCATTTCAAAGTATTACTGTCAATTGCAATGGGACTTATTCTGCACATCTTAGTTTTTTATTGTCTGTTTTTCAGTCAGCAATTAAACATAGAGACCAAATAATTAGTTTTCTGGTTGTTTTACAGTAAGGGCATGCTAGTGTCTTTCTTAGTTTCAGTAGAACTGAAAGTTGAACTGCGCTGTTATTATTTTCATTTTATTTATCTTCGGTTTGGTTAACCATTGTTTGTGAACATATTTTGATCTTTAGTTGATTGCTAATTACCTGATATATGCTCAGGGATGTGCCTCTTCTGCGTTCTGGTGATTATGCTGATATTGCTGATGGTAGCACCATTGAAGATAGAGTAAAGATGGAGAAGATCACGATGTATGTGGAGCACCCCCGTCCTATTGAGCCTCCTGCAGAGCCAGCCCCTCCTCAACCTCAACCGCTGAAACTTACTAAGAAGGAACAGAAGAAACTCCGTACACAGCGTCGCTTGGCCAAGGAGAAGGAAAGGCAGGAGATGATTAGGCAAGGTTTAATTGAGCCCCCCAAACCTAAAGTTAAAATGAGTAACCTCATGAAGGTGTTGGGTTCTGAGGCAACTCAAGACCCCACAAAATTGGAGATGGAAATTCGAACTGCAGCAGCTGAGCGTGAGCAGGCCCATGTGGACAGGAACATTGCTCGCAAACTCACGCCTGCTGAGCGGCGTGAAAAGAAAGAAAGGAAGCTGTTTGATGATCCAAATACCTTGGAAACTATCGTATCAGTTTATAAGATCAATGACCTTTCACACCCAAAAAATCGGTTTAAAGTTGACATTAATGCACAAGAGAATCGTTTAACTGGTTGCGCTGTCATTTCTGAGGGTTTTAGTGTTGTGGTCGTTGAAGGTGGAAGCAAATCCATTCAGAGGTATGGGAAGCTGATGCTTCGGCGGATAGATTGGGCTGCCAAGCTGGAAAATGAGGATGAAGAGGAAGATGATGATGAGGAAAAACCACCAAATAAATGTGTTCTCGTGTGGCAAGGAAGTGTGGCAAAACCTTGTTTTAATCGGTTCTTCATTTATGATTGCAGAACTGAGGCTGCTGCCCGCAAAGTTTTTTTTGATGCTGGTGTTGGCCACTACTGGGAGTTGGCTGCAAACTTTGTGGATGACCAGATATGAAGTTCTCACTGTTTGTACCTGCTAGTCAAGCTACAGAAATATTTCTGCTTTCTACTGATAATGAATTTTTGGTAATGGTTGTGTAATTAAAATTGCCGACTTCTGAGGACATACTGTGGAATGGAAGGAAATACTACTATTAGATACATAAAGTTGCACAACCTCAACAATCTTTCTTCTCTTTCCGGGGCAGTAGTTTTTATTGGGTCTGTCTGTAGTGAACAAGGATGAGTGCTTCAATGGTGATAGTATGAAATTAAACTAATCTCCTTTTGCGGCAAAATATTAGCGTGACCTGATCAAGTTAGCGCTTTGAGAACGAGAGATCAAGTCTTAAAGTAAAAAGTTATCATTGGACCAAACTTCTACTGATATACAAGCCAGAGATCTTTGTTCCTAATCCTTTGGCCATATACTCAGCAGTAGCTTGTCTGATTTTCCTGGAAGTTACAGCTCCGAGATCTTTGATGTGCCTAGCTAAGATTGTTAGTCTTTATTAAATTATACTGTTTTGATTCTTTACCATTTGAGTTTGTAGTTTGTCTGTCTCTTGTTACTAGTATATTTTAATGAGTAACTTGTGATCTTTCTTGCCAAACTGTCATTTCTTAAGACCGCGTTGTTGACATCTCGATTGAAAGGCATTGCTCCCTCTTCTTGAAAGGGATTGACCGGAGTACACGAGCACATAACTTTCTCTTTCACCATCTTCTTACTCTACACAGTTTTGGTAAGTTTAATCATGCAAGTTTTACTTTTTGTTAATCCATGTGCTCCTCTTCACAAGTCAACAAAGTTGGGGGCTTGTGGGGATATGTTTATACCTAAAGATTGAACTACCTTGTTATGCATGAGAGGTTCTACGTCACTTGAAAATCTTGCAAATATATGTTTACGTGATCCTGTTATGGGCGTAATATCATACCAATTATCAAGGATGATAATCCAAAAACAATCTAGCATTATTGGTTGATTAGTTAGGTCTTGTTTACTTCACTTTATTTTTGTTAAATTGATATAATTTCTGCGCAATTTATTATATTTATATTTAGGAAAAATTGATAGCAATAATCTTGCTCTCAAAATAATCCCAAGTTTTGATTATTTCTTAATAATATGAAATTTAATTTGAATTTATTTCTAATGGTTCCAACCGGTCATAAAACTTGGTATAACAAGTTACGTAACACGTGTCAGGACGTGATTGAAAAAAAAAATTAAATTAAAAATTAAAAAAAAACCAAAAAACTTTTAAAAAAAATTAATAAAAAAAAAAAAATTTATATAAGAAAAAAAAAAAATTTAATCAAAAAAACTTTTTAAAAAAATTTAATCAAAAAACTTTAAAAGAATTTAAAAAAAAAAAAAAAAAAAAAAAAACCCTTCACTAGCCAGCCACCAACGCCTGACACCCGTCTCTGCTGCCAGCGCTTGGCCTACTCCCCAACTGGCGGAACTCTCTGGCGCAAACAAGTAGTGAAACAACCCCTCCCCTGTCGGGGATCGCGGCCACCTAACCCCTTTCTCTTTCCCACGAACAGCCCCTATTTCACGAATTCCCCCACCCCACGCGTCGCCCTCCTCTCATTTCCCCCTCCTCGATCCACCGCATAATCGCCCCTTTCTCCCCGGAACGACCCTCGTTCCCTATTCACTAGCCCCCAAAACTTAAATCAGACTCCAAACTACCCAAAAACCCCAATGAGATGTCTACCTTAAACAACCAAGAAAACCAACGAGAAGGGGATGGAAAGGAGTTGGGTGAGATTCGCTAGTGGGGGGAAGGGGGAATCGAGCCAGCGGGATGGGCATCGTCCAGCAGGGAGTCAGCGAACCACTGGCTGTCGAAGGTGTGGGTCAGGCTTGGCTGGGGTGGCGGTGGTTACATTAGTGGTGTATTTTATAATAATTTTTTAAAAGTTAATTAATTAAACAATTAAATCAATAGCATAAATTAAAAATTAAAGTAAACTTAATTTTGACCTATCATGTATTGACACGTGTACATTATTTTTTTTTTAAAAATTACCTCTCCATCACGTAAAATATAATCAAAAGTAGGGATTATTTCAATTTTTCCTTATATTTAATGCAACAAATTTCATGTCTAATAAAATTAAATAAATTTATAGGGTGCTAGGCCCTAAATCCTTAATGAAAACTCAAATTGGGTATATAGATGGAATTAGAGCCTACTGTTTGAAATATTATGGAGTATTACGTATGGGCAATTTAATATGTGCATGCAAATATTTCTAAGCATCAAATTGTCGTGAATGCAATTGGCACTTGTGTGAGCAAGTTGCTTGTCCAATTTAACTGTCTTTGTACTCCATATATTGTAACACTCGAAAACTACATTTTAGAGTAATAACTTTGCAATTTTGTACAACATATAATTTATCACTTGTACTCTATAATTGATTTTATAGATATTAATACATCATCCTATAAACCACTAATGAAAAAGAGCAGGTGGAGCAAGCCGGTCAAAGTTAAATTTAATGGCAATAAAAAGCTCACCATTTCTTTTGATTTCGGCACTCAAATACTCATGCATCAACCTAACATACTGTTATTAGGTTTTTCAAAACGCGCAAAACTTACTTCATTACTAATGTATAAATATTTATTATTGTTTGTTAATCTTTTTAAGGGTTAATCAAAACAATCAACTTCCTTTGTCCTATACTAATCTTTTTATTTATCGTCTATTTTATTCATCCTTAAAATGACTACCATTATACTTGATCAGTTTTGATTGACTCATTTTTAATTTATTTTTTATTGGTCAAACATAATTAAAAATAAAAGTAAGGATATTAGGTATCTACATTGTGAAAAGAGTTTGTTTTTGTCAAAAAAAAAAAAAAGAGTTTTTTGATTTTCTGTTGAAAATGGTACAATATTTATAAAACCTCCATAAAATAAATTTTTGTACACTTTTAAGAGCTACGGTAGGATATAAGGAAAGAAAAAAAAAATTGTGAGATTTTTTACCTAATGAACTTCCTTAAATTTTTTTGGTACACTTTGATGTTACACTGTTTGACAAATTCTTTTTCGCCTTTAACCATATTTTTTACTAATAAATAATTATACACATCTTTTGTCCTAGAATAATTTACTGTTAAATTTGACACACATGACAATACATTAATTTGAGTTTAAATATATATGATTAAAAATAATTAGTAAAAAATATTAAATAAAGAGAATGATATTATAAATTTTTATTATTTAACAACATAATACAAGATAAACTATATTTTAATACGTTCTCATAAAAAAACATGGTCAGATTTAGTATTTGAATAGTGAAACAAGTCTAACCTGTCAATTATTCTGGAAAGGAGGGAATTCATCTTAATGTTATTATGTGCGTTGTTGGCTTGTTGCTATATGGCATTCATCAATGTATATATTCAGAATAATACTTTTCTTTTCTATATAAATCAAAATACACATATGAAATCACCTTATTTCCGGTGAAATAACATTGTCTTAATTACTTTCGTTTCTTCTCCTCATATATAACTAACTACCAAAATATCAAAGAAAAGAGTTCCACAAAACTGTATTTATATAGTTGATAGTTGGTTTCCTAAGCTAACCTCTAATAATTTACTAAAAAAATATCTAGCAAATTTACTAAAAAAAATATCTGGCAAATAAACTAAGCAATCAAAAAAGTCCATGGACTATTTATGGTTCCTTCACATCGGAACAAGGTAGAAAAATGTAGCTAAAAATAAAAATACATGATGTAATAGTAGCAAAACAGCCAAAACTTTAATAGCAACTAGAAAGTCTTTCATTTTTATTTGGACCAAAATTATTAAAAAAAAAGCCAACAGTAGATTAACACCCACACCTAATTCTTCCATACTCCCACCCTTTTTCCTCCATACTATATTACATAAGCCATGACTACCCTTCAAACTTAAACACCCACTTTGCCACGTGGCCTCTTAACATCACTAGTAACAACTCTTAAAAAATTAATTTAATTAACTATTTAAATAAAAATTAAAATAAGAATAAAATAATCAAAGAAATAAAAACCCTTTTGTTACAAGCCTTGAATGATGCATATGATTTGCTCACTCAAGAAATTTGAGGCGTGTTGACAAGAGATTAGGAGATTTTAGGTCACCTCTCTCTCACCCTCCTCTCCCTCTTTTTAGTATCATAAATTCTTCCGTTTTCTCCACTATCACACCCAATTTCACATTCACAACAAACTATATCTTATAAAAATCAATACAACTCAACCATATTTTTATCATACCAAAACTATCCTATATATATACATTTCCCATAATTTTTTGCATTTGAGCTAAACTAAACCATCCCATAACAAAAGGGACACTACTTTCATATTTATGAAACTACCAAATAATTTTCAATTTTTACAACAAACAAACAAGCCTTTTATTTGCATAGTAGAAGTAAATCTCTTATTACCAAAAATAGTTTGTTTTTCTTATAAATAGGAAGTGCAAAGCTGGAGATCCTTAGAGGTACAACTAAAATGTCTCGTGTGGTAGATGATGACTCTGCCAGTTCATCACCTACTCTCTTACCTTACTTTGGATCATCTAATAATTACCACACCATGGATCTTGAATCCAACGGTGTTGGTGGTGGTGGTGGTGCTGGTGATAGTCGTCGTGTGTCGTTCTCACCGACGTTAGGCCAGCTCTTGAAGCGAGTGGGGGATGCTCGGAAGGAGGCTACCGGGGATGAGACCCCCGTCCACCATACCCTTAACATGAGCCCTGAGACGCGGGCTCTTCCGTTTGTTTTAAGGTTCGCTAATCTTACATACAATGTGAAGATGCAAAGGAAGTTAAAGATTCCGGGAATTACTACTCATAATTTGTCCCCTGGTGAGCAGTTTCCTGGAGGATTTTTTTCTCGTACGAAGACTCTTCTGAATGATATCTGTGGTGAGGCTCGAGATGGTGAGGTGATGGCTGTGCTAGGTGCGAGTGGGTCCGGGAAAGTCAACGCTCATTGACGCCCTTGCAAATCGTATTGCAAGGGGGAGTCTGAAAGGGAAGGTAACCCTTAATGGGGAGCCGCTTGAGTCGCGGCTCCTTAAGGTTATATCGGCGTATGTTATGCAGGATGACTTGCTCTTCCCTATGCTAACTGTGGAGGAGACACTGATGTTTGCTGCAGAGTTTCGGCTTCCTCGGACCCTGTCTAAGTCCAAGAAGCAAGCCAGGGTCCAGCAGCTGATCGATCAGCTCGGGCTAAGGAACGCGGCTAAGACCATCATAGGTGATGAAGGACACCGTGGGGTGTCCGGTGGAGAGCGTCGTAGAGTGTCGATTGGTATCGACATCATTCATGACCCCATCATCCTCTTCCTTGACGAGCCTACCTCAGGGCTAGATTCAACTAGCGCGTACATGGTGGTCAAAGTTTTGCAAAGAATAGCTCAAAGTGGTAGCATAGTCATAATGTCAATTCACCAACCTAGCTACCGAATTATGGGGCTGTTAGATCGACTTCTTTTCCTGTCTAAAGGACAGACAGTCTTCAGCGGTACACCTTCTGACTTACCAGGGTACTTTGGGGAGTTCGGGGCTCCAATACCTGAGAACGAGAACAAGACCGAGTTCGCCTTAGACTTGATCAGAGAGCTAGAGGGCTCACAAGGAGGGGCAAAAGCTCTAGTTGAGTTCCACAAAGGTTGGCAAATCAAGCACAAAAGCAACCTACCCAACATTGAAGGTGCACCCCAAGACAGTAGGGGTGGATTGTCCTTAAAGGAGGCAATTAGTGCTAGTATCTCTAGGGGAAAACTCGTCTCCGGAGCTACTAACACTGATGCTAGCCCCGCGTCCATGGTTCCAACATTCGCCAACCCATTCTGGAACGAGATAGTCACTTTATCTAAGAGATCAGTCATGAACTCCCGTCGGATGCCAGAGCTTTTTGGCATCCGACTAGGAGCAGTGCTAGTCACAGGGTTCATCCTTGCAACAATGTTCTGGCAGCTCGACAACTCCCCTAAGGGTGTACAAGAACGACTAGGATTCTTCGCGTTTGCAATGTCTACAACCTTCTACACTTGTGCAGACGCTCTCCCTGTCTTCCTACAGGAGAGGTACATTTTCATGCGCGAGACAGCCTACAATGCCTATCGACGATCCTCGTATGTACTCTCACATGCTTTAACCGCGCTACCATCCTTGATCTTCCTTTCATTTGCATTCGCAGCAACTACATTCTGGGCTGTTGGCCTAGACGGAGGAGCCTCAGGCTTCTTCTTCTACTTCGGAATCATATTCGCCTCATTTTGGGCAGGTAACTCCTTCGTGTCCTTCCTATCAGGTGTAGTCCCTCATGTCATGCTCGGCTATGTAATAGTAGTCGCGATCTTAGCATACTTCCTCCTCTTTTCGGGTTTCTTCATCAACCGTGATCGTATCCCTGACTACTGGATTTGGTTCCATTACATCTCCTTAGTCAAGTACCCTTACGAAGGTGTCCTACAAAACGAGTTCGAAGACCCTACTAAGTGCTTCATTCGCGGTGTACAAATCTTCGACAACACCCCACTTGGAGCCGTGCCTAATGCCATGAAGGTAAGGCTGTTGCAGACCATCAGTGGCTCCTTAGGGATGACGATTACGCCCTCAACATGTGTCACTACCGGTGCCGATATACTCCAACAGCAAGGGGTAACTGACTTGAGTAAATGGGGCTGCTTATGGGTTACCGTTGCTTGGGGATTTTTCTTTAGGATTTTGTTTTACTTTACTTTGTTACTAGGAAGCAAGAATAAGAGGAGCTAGGTGAAATAGAGGAGGTAAAAAAAAGAAAAGAAAAGAAATTGGGGTTAATTATACTTTGTTAATTAATTAATTTACTTGTTAATTAGGATTATTAGCTAGCTTGATGTTATGCTAATTAATCCTTTTGTTGCAATTTTAATTTTATTTTTTTATTTTTATTTTTTATAAATACAATTGAATGTTACCTTTTTGAATTCAATTGGAAGTAAGGTGGAGTTTGGTGTAAAATTGTTTCATAATTTTATGATAAGAAATACAACGTAATTACTTATTTTCTGATCAACAACTTTTGGACCAACCAATTTTATTTTTGTTTTTGAGTATTACTGTTGTATGTTATATGCATGACTAAAAGATTTATTGGTGAACTACTAGTTAACAAGTTTGCTATTCTTTGATTTTGACGTATTTATGCAAACAATAGTCAAACATAACCAAGCTAGTATAACAATGTCTTGATTTTCAAAGGTTGTATGATCGAGTATTCACACCATATACTTCATCTGTTTTATACTTCATCTGTTTTGATATAATTGCATTAATGGCAAAAATTATATATTTTATTGTCATAATAATTAACTTTCGTATTTGTTAAGTATATTGTGGCAAAAATTATAGCGTCACTCACATTTTTTGTTCATGATCTCCATCTTTCCTCATCTTTAAAAGAGCTAGCTGTAATTTGTTGTCTTTTAATATTACATGATATCTTTCATCTTTCTTACAATATTGATGTAAGGAGTAGTGAATCCAGTTATTCTTGGGATTATTTAGGGTTCGTTTGGCGTTTTTTGTTTTTTCAAAATCATATGATATATGTCATATGATGAATAAAAAAAAATAAGTCAAATTTATTATATCTATGGTAATTTTGAAAACTGACAACAGAAAAATGAAAACACCTTATATAACAATGTCAAACAAGTGAGAGTGAAGGATAGCTCAACTGGTTAGAGCTTTCTTCCCGATTCAAGGAGATCCTAGGATCGATTCTCACCCCCACCCTTGTGGATCTCTAAACACAAAAAAAAAAAAAATGTCAAACAAGTTATAAATTAATTGTTTTTTTTGGAGTTAATAGACTAATAGGCTTTTGGGTATTTGAGTTTTGGAGCAAAGTGATTAAAACATACTCTTCAATTAATATAAACACTAATAACACTGATTTACGCACATTTTTGTCTGAATTCCTAATTTTATACAATTTTCAAGAGCATATTTAATGCTTATATATAGCCCTTAGGGCTACATATAACATTACTCTTGACAAAAGCAAATTATATTAATAAACTCAGAGTTTACAACATACCAAATAAAAACTAAAACTTACTACTACATGGCTTTAATTTTCACATTTAAGCCTTTACAACTTTCGACATTAAAAACCATATTACATAACTGGGGTTGGCCGGACATGTTACGGATTAGGACCTCTTTATAGGCCAAAGAGCGGATACCTACTTCAAAACACAAAGAGAGCAACGAGTAACGAAATTGTTCGATCATGGCTAGTTACCTAGTGGGATCAACTTATCACCAAGTAAGGCCTTCAAACCGATCACTTGGACATGTGACCTTTCCTTAAAAATTTGTTCTTGTTGGCAAGAAAGCTTAGACAACGTCGAGGCTCAAGAACCCCCCAAAATAAAGTTTGGGCGCCTGCTTCGGATAGAGATTTTCAAGAGTAGTGATCATAATGGTCTCTACAAATAAGGGAGCAGAATGACAACCATAATCATTTCACCATAACACACACTTCACCCTAGCCATGGTTAACTTCTTGTTCGTCCCCCAAACAACGACAACCCATGTTAACTCTCTCAACACAACAACAAAACTCAATCCCTTAACAAGGGATCCAAACTCCTTCCGCACACAATCATATAATAAACTATAGCCAATATAACAAGAATTACAGGACAACAACCAAGAAACGCTAAAATAAACCATACATAACTTAACAAAATAAAGAAAACTCTAAAACAAAGCAAACTCTAAAAAACAAGAAGAAAAAACATACTTAAGTGAACCGACCACATCCAGAGAGCCCCTTTCGGACCCATAATCCGAACCCATAACAGCAAAGAACCTCAAAACCTTAACCCTAACTTCACCGTTTCCGTCACGAACCACTCCTAATGGCGGAGTTAGGCTTAGCCCTCTAGCGCAAGGACCCATGAAACCCTAACCCTAACTTCACCGTTTCCGTCACAGTCAAAAATACCAATGACCTTTATGACGGCGGCGTTAGGCTTAGTCTTTAGACCTCTTGTTTTGCCGGCGAAATCCTTTGAACTTGAACCTTCCTCTCTAAGGTGGGTAATACAGGGGCTACTCTAAATCTCTTAGCCGGGAAAAGGGTCACAAAAAAACCTTCTAAACTGAGATTAATAAATATTTAAGAGAAGGGATGAGGGCGTCGCTCGGAGTTAGAAGACGCCTAAAAGAAAAACAGATCAAGAAGGGGAAGCCGGGAAAGAAGATAGGAGAAGAGAAGTAAGAGAAGAGGAGGAGCACGGAAAACTCGTCGCCGGCGATCCTCATAGAGATAAAGAAGAGAAAAAGGAGGACACTCGTCGGAGAAACGGCTACGGCGCCGGATCTCCGGCGAGCACCTAGGTTTACGGGAGGGGTAGGTTTCTTTTTTCAGAGGAGAGAGAAGAGAGTGTTCTCTCTCTTCTCTTCTCTTCTTTCTCTTCTCTTCAATTAATATAGGTACCCACAAAACAATAGATTATCAAGGTATATTTTTGACATCTGCATTTTGTACATAAAAGGTAATATAATTAAAATAAATGTTGAATGGTGGATTATTTTTTTTTGTGAAGTTTGGATGGTGGATTATGTAATTGAATTTGTACAAAAAATAGGCGAAATAATCTATTGAAGATTAAAAAAGAAAAAGTATCTACATATTTTTGGGTATAATATCATCACTAATATATAAAGTTGGTGTCGCAGCCAGGCCACAAGACATCGACACTTGAAATTTCAGTTTTTCGCCAAGTGTCAATCCACGTAGATAAAGGTGTCAATTCAGTTAAACATTTCGGGTTTGGGTTGGGTTTGGTTTATCAGTTTCGGGTTAAAATGGGTCGATTTATAGCGGGTTGAAATAATAAGCGGGTCGGTTTTGAAAATTATCGGGTCAGTTCGGTTTGAGTTTTTTAATTGCAGTTTCTATTCGGATCGGGTCCTTATCGAGTCGGGTTCTAGTCGATTCGGGTCATAATCAATTTGGGTTGACCGGGTCGGTTTGAAAACGGGTTTAGCCCGTTTAATGTGGGTTTCGGTTAAAAACAGTTTGGGTCTTAATCAGGACGGGTCGTAATTGGTTCGGGTCATAATCAGTTTAGGTTTAACTAGGTCGATTCGAAAATGGGTTTCAGTTCAAAACAGATCGGGTGAAATCGGGTCCAATCATTATCGTTTCAAGTTATAATCGGTTTAGATTGAACTTGGTTTGTTTGAAAACGAGTTTACCTAATTTGAAGCGGGTTTCTAATTAAATCATATTGGGTTAAAATTGAGTCGGATGATTATCGAGTCGAATTAGTCAGATAACGGGTAGGATCGAGTCATGTTATAATCAAGTCAAGTCATAAATAAGTTGGGTTTATTGAGTAGTGGGTTGAAATAGATTAGATCATAAACATATTGGGTAATAGGTTGTAAATGACTCAGTCATACTGGGTTACGGGTTTTAAACGGTTTGGTCACAATGGGTTACGGGTCGTAAACGGTTCGGTCACAACGGGTTACAGGTTGGAACGATTTAGGTTTATTGGATTTTTATCGGGTTGTAACAGTTTTCGGTTTAAAATGGGTCGGGTTACTATCGGGTTTAAACGTAATCGGTTTGGGTTGCTTTTAGTTTCAGGTTGTAACGGTTTGGCTTGATAACGGGTCGGGTTAGTAACGGTTTGCACAAATTCGATCTAGTTCAGTTTCGGGTTGGAAAAAAATTGGGTCGGGTCAGTTTTTGGTTTCCAAAAAACTGGTTTTAAACAGTTTAGTTCCTTTTCGGATTGGTTCGAAACAGTCGGGTTTAACGGTTCGGGTCAGAAACTGACAGCTCTACACGTAGACGACAAGTAAATATTATTATGACACATAAAAGGCTAAGTAAGCGAATGTTGGATAAATTTATTTAAGATAAAAATGTTGTATACATATAGTGTTTTATTATTGTAGGGAATAATTTCAAGCTTTAATCCCACTAGCTTGAACCCCACTGTGATCATACACTAAAGTACGGTGGCGTCCAAAAGGGAAGAAGATAGAGCAAAAAGATTCGCCAACAAGTTTTTTTTAGGAACTTGTAAACCGTTCATAGGATGAAGGTTACACCCCTTAACGATCCAAGAGATCGTCAACTCCATAAGGTCTTGAACCAAATAAGGGTTCGGGATGAGGTACAAATCCAACCTAAAAGAGATTGAACCTGCCCTAATAATAGGCCTCTACTTTATTCTGATCGTATTCATGTGCGCTTTTTAATTAACATGCAATCAATAGATTAACCCTAAACCTGTTTAATCTATGTTGGTTGAGTATTAATGCACTAACAAATCTATTATTGGCGATCACTTGAATTTATAATCATATTAACCCTAACAAGATTATTAATTATCTTATTAAGCGTGATTACAAGTACAAAGTCCCTTTAAACATGCATAAAAGGCGTGATCAAGCAATGAAAATAAATAAGCAAGCAATATAATAAATCATCAATCATTAGAATAAACATGAACTATAATAATTATAATAATCATCATGAATAAAATAATCATCATAAAATCATCATCATAAAATTATAATCATAATCATAATCACGCTCATATTAATATTAAAGCACAATGAACATAGCAAGATCCTAGGCATGATACTAACAAGATTAACAACAAACCCTAGCATGTCACTAAGCAATAAAAATCAAATCTTTAGCCCTAACATGATACTAACAATCATAAGTATTAGGAAGAGAATAAAAGGCATCATAGCAATCATATTTAATATTAAAATTGACCTAGACATGATACTAGGAATATCATAATAACAATATAAACATGATTTCTACATCATAATATCAATAAATAAATTAAAGCACTTACTTTGATGCTTCGTACCTCTTTCTAA